TTTATTCGTGAGAGACAGAGGGAGAGAGAGAGAGGCAGAGGGAGAAGCAGGCTCCCAAGGAGCAGGGAGCCCGATGCGGGACTCGATCCCAGGACGCTGGGATCATGACCTGAGCTGAAGGCAGACGCTTAACCATCTGAGCCACCCAGGCGCCCTGGGTTTCTTCTTAAACACTGTATTTTCCCACGTTTGCTGGTGAAAGTCTGGGGCTGGGACATAGTTATAAAAATAATAATAAATACTGACCATAGAGCTTGAGAGTCTGTAGAATGCTTTTCCTCATTAGACTGTTCTCTTCCATTCTTGTGTGACTAGGAGGGCAGATGATTTGCTCCGTTTTGAGATGTGGAAGCTGAGGTTCAGTGACTTGCCCTGGATTAGTGTGTGGGTAGGGCTTGCCTTCTTGGCCTCAAACTGCCTGGCAGCAAGGTTGTAGGCCAGTTCTAAATAGCTTCTGCTTCAGGAACTGAGGTCAACCTCTTGTATGTTGTAACTGTTTGCATACACACCCAGTATATGGTTTCTGGGTCCCTCTCCATTCCCCTAGGGTTTACAGCCTAAATTAAAGGATTAGAGAAGGGATGATTTATAAACCATTTATTATGTACAGCTTTTTGGAATCTATATGCTAATTTTGACTCTTAGAAATTAGGTTCTGTACTTCGGTCAAGTCATAGTAAAAAAAAGGAACAGTACATAAAGCATTCAGAACAATGCCTAGTGTTTCAAAAATGTTAGCTCTTGTCATTCTTTTAAAAGAGGTTTTGCAAGTGTGTCTGCACTAAATGGCAAATAGATTAGCCACATGATATGTGGTCAGTTATTGTCTCTCTCTGGGCCTCAGTTTCCTTTTCTATATAATGAAGTATTCCTAAGGTGTCTTTACCTTTATCAGTCCTATAATTGTTGAGTATTTTTGAAACCATATGTTTATGTTCTCTCATTCTTCCAGTGGGATGGAATAGTTTTAGCAAAATACTCCTCTTGTATTTGTGCACTCTGGGAATTGAGGTACTAGCTCAGAGGATAGGCCATCAAATACTGCTGAAAGTTTTCCCATCTAGAGAGTCATGCTACTCATTTGAAGAATGGAGCTAGAGAAGGATCCTATATTTCACCATTATCTCCATCCCCCTGCCCCAGCCTTTTGCTGAGGCCACAGAATGAATGTGCATTAGCAAATGACAGAAACTCACTACTGAGACTGAGGTGAGTTGTCCAGAAACCCCAACCATCCAGAACACAACTCAGAACCAAGAAAGAAATTTTTTTCTTTTTTAGGGCAAAAGGCTGGTTGCTCACAACTTGCAGGAGGTGATCAAGCTAATGGGGCCTATTATCTTATCATTCCTTTTTTTTTTGCTAATTAACAAATTTTTGGAATGACAGATTAAAAATTTTGAGTCAAATTTAATAGGGGCAAATGTAAAGTCCTATGTCAAGCTTTATAGGCCAACTTTAGAAAGTAAGGAGAGGGGAGTTATAGCTTAGCAGTAGCTCATTTAAAAAAGAACTGGGGGGAAAAAAAGAAAAAGAACTGGGAGCTTGGGTTGTTTACGACCTTATAAATCTAGAATATTAATGCCATCTACCTGCAGTTAGAAGCTATTCCCAGCATGATGAACATCGTAAGACAACAGCTGAAATTTCCCATCTAGGAAGGTGACAACCTTATTATATGGCCAACACTTAGTAGTAATGTAAATGTTTTTGGATAGTTGGAGGATTGTGACATAAAAGATTAGTTGTCTCATTCTGTATACAGTAGGCCCCCCCCCCATGGTTTTGCTTTCTGTGGCTTCAGTTACCCACTGTCTACTGCAGTCCAGAAGCAGATGATCCTCCTGATGTCTTGTCAGAAGGTCAGTACTAGCCTAGCACTACATCACACTGTATCTGTCATTCACCTCACTTCATCTCATCACGTAGGCATTTTATCATCTCACGTCTTAAGAAGGGTGAGTATAGCACTAGAAGATACTTTGAGAGGGAGAGACCACATTCACATAATTTTTATTATAGTATATTGTTATAATTGTTCTATTCTTAGTTCTCATTGTGAATCTCTTACTGTGCCTAATTTATAGATTAAGTTTTATCATAGGTATGTATGTAGAGGAAAAAACACAGTATATGTGGAGTTTTGTACTATCTGTGGACTCAAGCATCCACTGGGGGTGGAATGTATTACCCTATGGGTAAGGGGGGACTACTGTAATGTTAATGGGTAAAATTAGAAGCTGGGTCTAAGTTACTAGTGTAAAAGTCCTAGTGGATTTTGGCTCAGTAAAAATGAAGAACTTTTAAAGAATTGGTTTTATCAAGATTGGAATAGCTAATTCTGTGACTAAGTACCTTGTCACTAAAAATAACTCAAGAATGGCAGGATGATTCCATGTTGAAGGTTCTGTCAGATGCCTTTTGTTACTGCATTAGATGTTTGGCTGGATTATACCCAAATCTCCTTATAATATTAATATTCTAACACGCTGTAATTTTGTGTGTGATATATTTGAAGGCCCAGATTTTGTAGTTTGGAACTTGAAATTAAGCATCTCTTTGTTTTGATCTTAGTTTATTGACCTCTAAGTCCCCATGGTTAAGATTTTCTATAATATTTCTTGGGAGGGAAATTCTAGGAACTCTGGAAGACTTGGGCTGTAATATATTCCCTGGTTTGTCATGCAAATTTCCTAAAAAGATTATTTTCATAGTTGTTTCCAGGTACTTTTTTATGTTGTAATCTCTGTTCTATAATGATATCTTTGAGTTATAACATGGTTTAAATGGGTTCTTTAAGAATGAACTATTTTTATTATATCTCATTTAGGTTCTTTATTAGTGTCTTTTTAAATGTTTTCAACATTAGAAAGGGAAGCAAAACAATAACTCGTGCTGGGCTTTGTTGGTATATAGATGGGAACCTTCTCTTCGTATGACTCCTGACCAGGCCCTCAAGCATGCTTGGATTCATGAGCCACGGAATCTCAAACCACGGTCCAGGCCCCAGACCCTGAGGAAAGCCAGTCTCTGTCTCCCCTCTGAGGCTCCGAAGGCCAAGGTTCGAGGGCATCATCACTTGGACATAAAAGGTACAGCCCCTCAAATAGCCAGTCCTCTTCCTGTAGTCCGGGGCTCGGGTATCTCTGGAAGATTCATGTCAATTTCTCTGAACTCAACCTTGGATAGTTATTCTGACTACATCACTACTAGCCTGTCATTTCTCACTTTTGAGATTTAGCCTCTTTCAGGAGACTTGCTTCTAGCTGGGTTTGCTTCTTTCTTGCCCCTTTATATTAGGAATTTCCACTTTTCTCCTGTCTTCAATTCCCTTTCTCTTCCTTTTCTTTCACCATGTTCTCCTCTGCCTGACCTATAATTACCTTTTGAAATTTTATCAGATTATGGCATTATGCAGATATCTTTTATATGCAATATAGCCTCATGGTTTTGTTCATGGTCACTGGGGTCAGGTTGCTTAGGATTAAATTCTGGCTCTACCATTTACCATGTGTGGGCCGTTGGGCAATTTAGTTAGCCTCTCTGTGTCTCAGTTTTTTCATTTATGAGAATGAGAATAATGCCTATTCTCTATGGTTGCAGAAAGGATCAAAGAAATTAGTAAATGTAAAGTGCTTAGAATAATGCCTGGCATTATTCATTTATAAAGCACATAGAATGTGTTTTTATATCATTACAACCAGGATTTTCCCAAAGTAATTTACAGGCTAATGGACAGAATATAATTCACATTTGAACACTGTTCCTTCTGTCTTCTCTCTCCTTCGGCAGAGGTGATCACCAAAGAAGAGACTATAGACAAAATAAAAGGTGGCACCACTAAGCAGGTTCAGAATTCGGGTGATCAGCAGGGCTCTCTGCAGCATGCAGCTGAAGTTGTCCAGCTGCCTCAACTAATAGAAGCTTCCGGAAAGCCAGAGGCAGCTGTTGGACCAGAGGGGTCCGAGACCTCCCCAGAAAAACAAAGTAAAAACTCCTCACCCAAGAACATGAATATTTTACCACCTATTATATGACCTTTGCTGAAGGTGTGTCCTGTTCCTTTCCACCAATGATTTGTATTAGAGACAGCACTTATATTGTACAATATTTCAGATTGTTGTTTTTTAATGCATAAAGGTTTGTTTAAAAAAAACTTTATTCACATGGCCGGTTAGCATGATTCCTATTATGAGGGATGAGAGAGAATGTCCTTGCACAAATGATGTGTGTATATGGGGGCGGAGGGGCAAGTATTCAATGTCATAGCATCACTAATAGAACTCTAAATATTTTTATTTTCTTTTTCCCCAAGACAGCTGACCTGTGAATTCTTGTTTGAAAATGAAAATGAAAAACTAGTTTGAATTTAGCTTGTAACTAGCTTAAGCAACAAAGGACATTTAGTTGTTTATGTAATTGGGGAATCAGGAGGGATAAGTGTGATTTCAGGCGTTATGGAGTCTAAAAATTCAGACAAGGTCATAGGGCTCAGATTCCCTCTCTACCTATTAGCCTTGCTTCTTTTTGTGGTTTTCATTCTAAAGACAAGCTCTGCCCAGAAGTTAAAGTGACCACCAGTATCCTGTCAAAAGATGCAGTGCTGGTAGGAAAGTCTCAGAAGTGACTGGACTTGAACCAAGCACTATGTCTGAGATATTGGGATCTTGTGATTGGACAGCCTGGGTCACAAGCCCATACTGTGATGATGGTAGCACCATGGAGTAGGGGACAGAATATTTCCCAAAGGAAGGGAAGCTGAGTAAACAACAGGATATATTCACTCATCCATCACCCTCAAAATCTCATTTAGCTTTCTAGTCCTTCTCTGCATGAATACATAATCTCTATATGATTGTAATTATAGAATAGATACAATTTTATAAGAAACTTAAGATCATAACCTCATAAACAACATGGAAAATATACCTGGCTTTATAGTTTTCAATTACTTTGTAATATTTCATGAAGGAAGACACCGGATAATTGAAGCAATGGGGTGAGATAAGATCACCCAGGAAAGGTGAAACAGAATGAGAAGAGCAGAGAGTCAAAAGAAAGTAGGAAAGATAAATATGCCAGGGGGTAACAGACTTAAATAGAGTCCCCAAGAGATGGAAAAAAAAAACACCCAAAAATTAGAAACCAAAGGAGAAAGTTTCTAGAAAGATGAAAAATATAAAATTCCACAGAAAGGTCAGGATAAGAACAGAAAATGCCTCTTCAGTGCGGAGATATGGACACTAAATGAGAGAAGTGCCATAGCAGGTGATTTGTCCCAGGTCCTATAGCCAGAAAAGTATAGAACTGGCAGTAGAACTCAGGTCTTCTGGACGTTTTTTTGACACTAGCTATCTTCAACCATGGATAAAGTTGAGGGAGACAATTGTTCTGCAACCCCCCAGAGAGAAGCGAAGAAGCCAAGTCCTCAGTATCATAATTTGAATGATTTAGGTTGAATAGAAAATATTTTGTGATTGGAATGGTTATAAATGCTAAAATAAATTGTGGCTTCTTATTCTTAGGGACACTTTAAGGCAGGGCATCTTCAAGTTGTGGCACAGATCGGATACATTAGAAACAGGATGTATGACCTTAGCCAGGGCCTCTCAGGCCAGCACTATTTTTCTTCTGCTATCCATCTGATTATTTTTTTAATTCCTGAAATTTCTTCACCTTATTTTCCCACTGGATCCCAAGGAAACATACATCTGGAGCCCTTTAATTGTAATTTTTTTAATTTTGTGTTCTTGTTTGCATGGACAGGAAAAGCTGCAAAATCCAGTGACTGGCATAAGATGACATGTCTTTGATGTGAGTGGTATGAAGATAATGTTAGGGCTCTTTAAGGATATGGAGAGGGGAACTGTGGAAGTAAGAAGGGAGGAGAAGAGGGGAAAGTGGTAGGCGGGCGCTGATCACAGGTTCACCATCAGCCAGTCCAGCAGCTGTAGCCGCGTAACATTTCCCAACGCCTCATCCAGCTGTCGCTCCTTCTCATAGCGCAGCACTGACTGCAGGACCTCACCGACACTGCGTCCTTTGTCCACAGCAGCAGCCGAGAGCTGAAGTAGCTGGGGAAAGGAAAGAAAAGCAGTAGTAGAGGGGCAGAGCATCCCAGAGCAGACAGGAAAGGGCCTGCCAAGGCTAGAACAAAGAGGCTGGGCAGACCTTGGTAAACTGCAGTAAAAAGGCCTCGCCATAACTGGCAAGTATGCAGCCTGTCTGACAGAAGAGAGTTATATCATCCTTAAAGAAGAGATGTTAGCATCCACCTGCCCATCATATGGAAATACAATTTCCCACTAAGACTAAATCTTGTTGCTTCCAGTGGGTGTTTGGTCAATGGTGGTCCTGTTTTCTTTCTTTTTTTTTTTTTTTAAAGATTTATTTATTTATTTGAGAGAGCGAGAATGAGAGAGAGAGAGAGAGTACATGAGAGGGGAGAGGGTTAGAGGGAGAAGCAGGCTCCTCACCGAGCAGGGAGCCCGATGCGGGACTCGATCCAGGGACTCCAGGATCATGACCTGAGCCGAAGGCAGTCGCTTAACCAACTGAGCCACCCAGGCGCCCTGTGGTCCTGTTTTCTAAGAATTCTTAAGTTCTTAAATTCACTGTAATATCACGAAACAGTCTCCATCATTGTCCCAAGACCAAACAAGGGCAGGGGGGAAATAGCCAGAGGACAAATGCACATGGTGCTTTCCATGCCCTATAGAACAGACAGCCTAGAATGCTATAAAAGCAGGAAAGCGGCTTAGAGATCCATTCAGTCCCTGGAAGATGCAGCCCAGAAAGGTGGCAAGACTTGTCAGTAATACAGTGCTAGAAATTAGCAGAGGCAACATGCATGCCCAGGTCTCTGAACCCTATGTTTAGCTCTCTCTCCAAGCTTAAAATGAGAAAAATTAGCCAAAGCAATCATTCTAGCCATATGAACACAGTACATTGCCATTCATCTAAGTAACCAGATTTTTATTTTGTGTATTCTGCACCTGACTCTCTGAGAGGAAGGAAAACAAACAGGCCAAATATCAGGAGCTTTTCCAAAAGGGGAAATTTCCATGAGAGAGACTAAAGTACACATGGATGTTCTTAAAACAAATGGAAGGACCAAGTCTTAACAAAGAGAAGATATAAAGAAGAACCAAATGAAAATTCTAGAACTAAAAAACACAAAATCAAAATGGACTAAATAGAATGAAGACAAGAGAGGAAAGTCAGTGAACTTAAAGACCGATTCATAGGGAAAACACACACACACACTGAACAATATAAGAGATTGATTAAACGTTCTTCAATTAAACCTCTTTGAAAAAATAAAGAGAGCTCAGGGGCCTGTGGAACAATACTAAAGGTCTTATATTTATGTCATTAGAATTCCAGGAGAGGAGAAAAGTGTGGTGCTTGAAGAAATAATGGATGAATGTTTCCCCAGTTTGCCAAAAGATATAACTGACAAATTAAAAAAGCTCAGTGAGCCTAAAATAAGATAAACCCAAAGAAATTCACTTTAGGACCTGTCATAATCAAATTGCTAAAAATTAAAGAAAAGGAAAAAATATGAAAGCAGCCAGAGAAAATGCTGCATAATTTATAAGAGAAAAATTCAAATGACAGCAGATTCCTGATCAGAAACCATAGAAGTCAGGATATGATATAACACTTTTAAGCACTAAAAAGAATGGCCAAATCAGAATTCTATATCAAAAATTATACTTCAGGAATAAGATCCAAAAAAATTTTCAGATTAAAGAAAACTAAAAGAAGTCATTTCATTGCCAGAAAATGTGTTCTAATTCTTTAGACAGAAGGAAAATGATGTTAGAAGGAAGCTGGGAACATCAGGAATGAATGAAAAACAACAGAAACAGTAAAAATCTCAATATAAATAAGAAATTATTTTTCTCAGTTCTTTAAAATATGGGCATACCTTGAAGATACTGTGGGTTCAGTTCGAGACCACCACAATAAAGTGATATCACAATAAGGCGAGTCAAAGTTTTTGGTTTCCCAGTTCGTATAAAAGTTTTGTTTACATTATTAAGTGTGCAATAGCATATGTCTAAAAAACTATGTACATAATTAAAAAATACTTTATTGCTAAAATATGCCAACCATCATCTGAGTTTCCAGTGAGTTTTAATCACTGACTACAGATAACCATAACAAATATAATAATGAAAAAGTTTGAAATAGTGTGAGAATTACCCAAATTGACACAGAGACACAGAGTGAGCAAATGTTGTTGGAAAAGTGGTGCCAATAGACTTGCTTGACACAGGGTTGCCACAAACCTTCAAATCTGTAAAGAACGCAATATTTGCAAAGCACAATAAAGCGAAGCAAAATAAAATGAGGTACAGCTGTATGTTTATAATTGAGAGCAAAAATAACATTGTCTATGGATTTTTCCAGTATACGTAAGATTATATAAAATAACTACAACATAAGGGGGACGGTAATGAGACTGATAGAATTACGATTTCAGTACCACAGTTTAAGTGGTAACTATTGATTTTACATAGACTCTGAAAAGTCAATGTCTATTGTAATCCTTAGAGAAACTACTTAAGAAAACAATACAAAGACATAGAGTCAAAAACACAATAGATAAATTAAAATGGAATTCTAAAAATAAGGTTAATAATCTAAAAGAAGGCAACAAATGGGGGAAAAGGAGGCAAATTAGAACAGTGGACCCAAATCCAAACATATCGATAATTAGGCTAAATGTAAATGGTATAAACACACCATTTGTCAGAATGGATTAAAAAGACCCAACACCATATGTTACCTACAAAAACACTCTCTTCAAATGATATAGGTAATTTAAAAGTAAAATTATTGAAAAAAATGTATCATTGGGACACCAATCAAAAGAAAGCTAGAACCTCAGCATTTATGGTCAATTGATTTTTTTATGAAGGGGAAAGATAATTCAAAAGGGCCAGATATCCATTTGTCTTTCCAACAAATGATGCTGAGACAACTGTATATCCATATGCAAAAAATGAACTTAGATGCCTACCTCATTATACATAAAAATGAACTCA